ACCAGGAACAGGGGGAACTCTGCATTTTAAAAGCACTCAAATTCAAAAACAAAGTGAACAAAATGGCATTCCCTGCGTTCTCAGCAACAACCTGGAGAGTTGATGTTGAGAACTGCATTACCATTTCCATCTGTACGTTTGGGCACGTTTCACCTCCTTAAGATGTGGTGTCCTGGCCGGTTAAATAGGGATAATAATACCCATCTGCATGGATCAGCAGGTGGTTGTGATAATTTAATTATCCAATATCTATAGAAGCATTTTAAAACTATAAATCATTGCAAAAATGCCAACAATTTAACCAATATCAAGTCGTCCTTATCTCTGAAGGCTTAATTTATGCTCTGTTTCTCTTAGAACTTAGAGGCTTGCATTCCAATCTATTTTCCAGAATTCCACTGATAATATTTGTTGGAAAAAGTACTCTTTTCCTGCTGCCCTGACTTGTTGAGAGTATGGCTTATGCAATTGTTAACTTGCCGCCCTGCAGCAAATCAAATCAACAAATATTTACTAGCTGCTGAGCTTGGCCTTGTAGGAGATACAAAAAACTAAGATTCACTTTCTGCATTGAAGGAGCAAATTGCCCAGCTGCACCGTGGTTCCCACATATTCTAGAGAAGGGGGAAACTGCCTGTGCTCTGCGGATGGCCCCTGTACACCTGGAGCTTCACTTCAAATACAAGAAACAGCTGGTGTTCATGATTTAAGGCACAATTCAAATAGTAGAGAGAATTTATTTTACAAGCTGCCTGGTTTGGCAGAACTCCAGAATTCATCAAACAGAAAGATAAGGATGATGATGATAACGATAAAAATGATTCTTCATAGTTGGTCTTTTTACAGTGACATAAAAGAAGTGCAATCTACATGGGACATTCCAGAGCTAGGACATACCCTCAGCTTCACCCAAAACAGACAACAGGGCCTTCGTAGCACCTGTGAAAACCAAAGGTGACCCTCGCCCCATACTTGGCACAGTTGTGCTTGGAAACCCGGGAAGATTTTGGGCAATGTTAATCCACAAAAGGGCATCAATATCTACTTAACACGGAGAAGCTGCCAGAGAAGGAACCCCAATATTTCAAGACCCAAATGCTAATTTGACTTAACATCCAACCAGTGATTTTCCGTGAACTGTTCAGTTCTTTTGTCATTAAGTCTCATAAAAAGTCTAAAGAAAACAAGGTTTCCAATTAGAGAAAATGTCAATAACCAGATTCATAAATGAATTTCCGCCACTTAGTGAGAATAATAATTCTAGCTAACACGCAGAGTGCTTCGAAGGCCAGGTGCTGAGGATTTAATACATTTCCTTGCAGAGTCCTTTTGATAAGACAGTGAATACTATGATTATTCTCATTTTAAAGATGAGGTAACTGGGGATCCCAGAGATTGCATCATGGCCCAAGGTCACATGGCTAAGTGGAGGCATAGGAGGCTCTTCAGCTGTTCCCCAACATCTAGAGCTTAGAAGACAGAGGGCATATGATCTGCCTGTCAGTCCCCAGGTGGCTCTGGCTTCAAGCGGGCACCACGGATGACAGTTAACCTTATCCACGATCACAGACTGTTTCCCACATCCTGGCAGCAACTTCACGGATTCTTCATCTGGTCTCCTACAGATCAAGGGTTAGACCTGGAGGTGGCTCAGCACATCCCCTCCCCAATACTGCAAAACAAGAGAACTCAAAATCCTTTTCCTGTTACAAATGGATCATCCCTTTTCCATCCTCCTTGCTGTCCATCATGGAAAATTCATGGAGCCTGATTGGATGAGGTGTCAAAGGCTGTTAAATTTAAATGTGTTCCAAAAAAAAATTAAATGTGTTCCAGAAATTTAAGTCATGCCCTTGAATGTTCGTGGCTCAAGTTTTCTTTTTCAGTGGGGTCTTTCCTTATAGATAAATTAATTACTTGTCTTGAACAACAGACCCATTGAGATTTTTTCATTTGTAAAATGGGGTTAATAACATCTAAGCCACTTTTTTTCACACGGCTTGGGGGAATATAAAATAAATACAAAGAAGAAAGTTACAAATAATCTTGTAATACAAACCAATGCCATTTTTCTCTAGCTTTCCCAAACTAGAGACACCCCCACCACCTATACTCTCCTTACAGCAGCCTGTTTTCTTTTATTTATAACTGCTCTCATTATCCAATTAAATTTTATAATTTAATTGCTTACTTGAGTACTTCCTGTCTCTCCAACAATAATGGAATTCCAGGTAGGAAAGGATTTTTGTCTTCTTGTTTGCCGTTGCACTGTTGGCATTTAAAACCATCCCTGGCACACACCAGACATTCAATAAATGTATGTTGAACAGTAAAACCTTTTTGTGTTAAAATCTGTCCCTCTATAAACATTTTTAAAATTGGATTTCAGGTCTGTAGAAGTAGATTAATCATAATCCTTGCTTAATGGCAATTCATCATTGATCTGTTCATAACCCTCTTTTATTATTTATTTTGCTCTCTAATTAGGTTTTTTTTTAATCATGTAATAAGTACCTGAAAAAATAGAACCTAAAACAAAAGCTAGAGTCTGTCATTGAACCATAGTGCCCTGGTCCCCAGCTCATGTCTGCTTCTCCTTATCAGAGGTAATCAACATTCAGAAACCCAGATTCTTTATTTACTATTGTCTTAAGCCCATTTCCTTAGAATCTGAGCCTGCAATGGGATCCTCATTTAGGTGATTTATTGAGGGACAGCTCAGGAAAAGGGGGGAGTTGAAGTAAGCAAAGATGTGGAATCAGCCGCAGACTGGATTGGGAGTCTGGGAGCACACACTGCCCCAGGGTGCTGACTCCACCCTAAGTCAAGAGTAGCTATTTGTACCAGAGTCAGTCTCTCGGGGTGTGAGTGATATAGGGAAGGCAGGTGTGGAGCATCTTGGTAAGGCAGCCCCCATTTGGCAGGAACTGATTCTTCAGAGAGGAATGGTGCTCTGTGTGTATATATATATACATTCACACATATTTCAGTTATTTGGTACTTTGTAGAAAGGAAACCATACTAGCTTTTTTGACTGTTGTATAATATTTCAGTATGTGAAAATGCCATTCTTTATTCACCCATTCTCCCACTGAGGGACTTTCAATGGTTTAGATTTTTGCCACTATGAACAGTATGGCCCTGCATACTCTCATCTATGTCTCTTGTTGAATATGTGTCAGAATTTCTTGGCTCTATACCTGGGGTGGAATAGCTGGGTCACAAGTTGTAAACTTCAGAAGATAATGCCAAACTATTTTCCAAAGTTGTTTTACCAATTCACACGCCAACCAATAATATATAAAAGATCCTATCATCTACCTCCTCTCCAACTTTTTCTGTAAATTGAAATTTCTGTAAATTGCAAGACTACAAAATAGCATTCCATTGTGGTCTTGACCTATGTATCTTTCATCATTCATCATCCTTTCATATTTGTCATATTTACCTATTTTCTCTTTTGTGAAATTCTTGCTCATACCTATGTCCATTTTTCTATTGTTATTTGTGCTTTTGTCTTTCCTTTTTTCTTTCTTTTTTGTGATCTGTATGTGTTCTTTATACATCTTTTGACTGCTGTGTACATTATAAATATCTTCTAGTATATGACTTGTTTTCTCATTTTCTTAGTGCTGTCTTTGAAATAACAAGTTTTTTTTTAGTTTAATTTCTATCGAAGCTTATTTTATAACATATATAGGTTTCAGGTATACAGCATTTTAATTGGTATCAGTATTGTAATAGCCACCAAAAGTCTAGTTTCAATCCACCACCATACAATTGACTCCCTTTTTCCAATTTACCCACCCACTTCTTAATTTTTTTTTTGATAGTCACAGGTTTCTTAATATATCTTTTCATGTTTGTTTTATAAACCTTTCCATGAAGGGCTCCAGAGGACAACCTCAATCTTAGGGACAGAGGATTCACAGATGGAGCCAGGTTACAAGCAAGTCACAGAAGCGAGAATCGTCGAGCCTACATTGTCTGGTGTGAAGTAGTCCTAAGTAGCCACACAAGCGACCAGCTGGCAGGTGTGTTCTGGTTATAGAATTGGATATATCATGCTATTAGAGCTGGATACCATTAAAAATTCTAATCATAGACTGTAATTAACTTTCCTTGCTCTGACGCCCCGCTCACTAAACAACCTTCTGATTATAATTTGGCTTCCCATGTATCTTGCCTACAGGGAGAGAATGTACTGTTCAGCCGACGTGAGAATCCAATCCACTAAACAGTTACATGCCATGATGTAAATTAATAAATTCGTATTCTGATTTTATCATCTGTCTCATCTGCGCTCTGTAGGCGTGAGTCAGCATCCCCAAGTCTAATCAACAGGGACACGGAGAATATCGAGCTTCTGAGCTAAAAAACTAAGGACTAGACCCAGGACCAGAGCAAAATCACCAAGGTAACATTGCCCGGGAGGCCCCTCGGTCTGATGGAGAAGGCCTTCCTTCATGTCATGCAATACAGATGGGGATTAAAATTGACTTTTGACATTATAAAGAGCTGCATATTCAAAACCATGGCTTGGTTCCATTCAGGTGAAGGCAAAGAATAGGAGATGATCATGAGACTCACATTGAATATTTATTGGCTTATGAGCACACACCAGATGCTGCACAAATCCTAGGCAGAAGGATAAGATTTACAGACATGTTTGAAAAAAGGGGGGAAAAGGGCAGATGGTACGTGCTGTGGAGGATGGGACAACAGCAGCCTGACTGATGAATCCTAGCTTCACCTTGGTGCTCAAGGGCCAGGATGCAAATGGAAGAAGGCAGCTTTAAAGACAAAAATAAAAGGGAAAAAAGGAAGGAAGGAAGAAAGAAAGGAAGGAAGGAAGGACACACCAGAGCACAAAAAGGAATGTGCCAGGGCAGTGAGATTATCCAGGCCAGAGGCATGATTTAGGACCTGGAGGGTAGGGGCAAGATCTTTGAAGTGAGTTCAAAAGGCAGAGTGGCGATGAGTCCATTAGGACAGATGGGGATAATTTAGCCATCCTGCTCTTTAGCTCTCCACTTCACCCAGGATTTCGGGGTTAGCAGTACCTCTAGTGACAGAGATCCCCTTCTGGGATCCCAGTTTCACTGAATAATAAAGAGAAGAAAGTGATAAGAACTGTAGCATCTGGGAATTCTTGGCGGTGATGGGGAGAGATCCTCCACTTTGTATTCAGACCAAAAACAAATAAACAAAAACCAAAAAGGGGAGATGACCCATACTGATGACCTTACAGGATTTATTTTCAAAGGGAAAATATGTTCCAGAGGAATGAGATAAATGAAAGGAAGTTCTGCATCCCCTTTGAGACTCATCTAACGGACGAGCATTCTCTCCCATGTGCCTCTCTGGGGGCCACCAGAACGCGGTCACCGGCTTGGCTGCACTGGACTGCAGAAGCTGAGGTCTGGACTCCAGAGAAGCAACTCAGACCGCTTTTAGTTCTAAAACTGTTAGCCACGAGACACCTACCAAGGGCTGGTCTGCCCAGCCAGCTGTGTGGGAGGAAAGGCACACAAGGGCACAGTAAAACAGCAGGGCCTAGAAGGTTGACAGATGGGCTTCTCAGGGGCACCCCCAGAATTCACAAACAGGGGCCAACCTGTGTTCAGTCCACAGCCAGAGAGCTCTGACGTGCACGTGAAGGAACAGTCCTCTCAGAATGGCCTCAGAGTTTGCTGCCCTGGGGTAAGCAAATGTAGGCAGAGGGGGGGCCCATCTAGTAGAGGTTGTCCTGCACATGCTCCATGATGGTCTTCAGCCCCAGCCAGGTCTCCTCCGCAGTGGGGATGATCTGGTCAGCGGGCAGGAGGAAGCCATAGTGGCCGGTGTCTCTCAGCTCAAAGGAAAAGGCGTACTTGATGCCGTTGTCATACGCCCAGTCCATGCTGCTGCCGCTCGCGGGGTCTGCAAGTCAGAAGAGGAAACACCTTTGAAGTCCGGGATCTTTTTTTTTTTCTTTTTCTTTTTTAAATCATTCCTGACTGCAGGCTCAAACAGGGGTGGGGAAAGCACCCGGGCCTCGGGTGAATGGGTGGTGGGAATTTCACGGGGACTATACCCGAGAGGAGAGAGCATACATTGCACAAAAATGAAGAATGATGTAAAAAATACATAAAATTAAAAATATAATAAAAAATTTAAAATAAAAATAAATCATTCCTCATTATTGCTTTTTTGCCTGTTTTTAAATGAAGTCCTTTGAGGCAATGCTGGTTGACAGCACTGTTTACGTTTTAGCGGGATCGATTCACAATGTAGTCATCACACCGAGCCCAGCACCAAAGCACCGGGCTGCTTCCATCACAATCCACTGAGGCCCCCGCTCCTGCCTTTGCTCTCCCCTCTCTTCTGCCTCTCCCCTCCCGGTAGCCTCAGTTCTGCCATCAGATTACAAGCGTTTGTTTTTGTCTGTTTCTTTGCTTTGCATTTTATATTCCACATATAAGTGAAATCCTGTCTTCGTCTTTCTCTTTCTGACTTATTTTGCACAGCATCATCCCTTCCAGGTCCATCCAAGCTGCTGCACACTGAAGCCCAGCGTCTCTTGGGGTTAAATGAGAAGGGGCCAGGAGCTCTGCCTGCCACTGATTCCCAGGGAACCAGGGCTCTTCCTGCAAGTCATCAGGCCTGTGACATGGGGACAGGAATGGCCTGGCTCGCCTCCCACCGTGACAGTCTTCACTCACCTCAGGCCAAGAGATTTTAAATCTTCATTCCCACCTTGTCACTAACTCACTGTGCAGACCCCTGCAGGTCACTGCCCGAGGGGGCAGCCTTCAGAGAGCCCAGAGGTCCTTGTCTCCTGGCAGTCTCGTCCAGTGTAGCGCCCCCCACCCTGCCCCCCGTGAGTGTAGGGCAGCTGTGGCCCGTGTAACTGCAGGAATGGAGGTGTGCCACCTTCAAGGCTAGGTCATAAGAGCTACTGTGACTTCACCTGGCTTTCTCTTGATTCTCTTGTTCTTTGGGAAACCAGCTGCCATGTTGCAGGACACTCAAGCAGTCCCATGGAGAAGTCCACATGGCAAAGAACTGAGGTCTCCTGCCAGTCATCAGGACTCACTCACTGGGCGCCTGAGTGAACCACCTCAGAGGCCCATCCTCCAGCCCATACTGCAGCTCTGCAAGGCATCACTGTGACCCAGTGAGAGACCCTGAACCAGAGTCGCCCAACGAAGCCACTCTTAGATTCCTGGCCCACATAAACTGCATAAGAAAGGAATGCTTGTTGTTTTAAGCTGCTAAGAGTTGGATGACTTTTTACATAGCAAGAGATAACTGATACCCAGAGAAAGAAGCAGAGCCCTTGGGACTTCCCTTGGCCAAAAGGCTGGAGGAAGACAAGACGGGGGTCCAGTTTTCTCCCAAACTCTATGAGAGCTGACATTGGCCCATTGTGCAAAGTGAAGCTGAATAATGCAATGATGAAATCAATCATGATCATTGTTTACTGACCGTCTACCACGAGCCAATTGCTTATCCTGGAAACTTTACATGTATGACCTCATTTAATCTTTAAAAGCCCAACAAGGTAGGTGTTATTGTCCTTGTTTTACAGATAAGGAGATCCAGGTTCATACAAATGTAAAATGGAGGGCTAGAATTTAAACCCAGGTTCTTTTGATGAGGAAGCCCAGGCTTTGTCCAATCTGCTTCTAGTCCATTCAGTATATGACATGTCTGCTAAATGAAAATGGGGGTCCTCTTGTTTTGCCATCATTGGTGAGAGTTATTTCTCCTGATGCCATTCGTGACTTTTCCTAGAGGTGCTGCTTCCGCTGAGATAATGTGCTCCCTGGGATTACAGATCAGACTCTACCATATTCTCTGGGATCCTTGTATTGTTCCCACAGCCTTTCTCTATTCTAAGAAACAGATGCCAGAGGTTAGTAGAGGTTATTTACATGGGAAGCTTAAGTACAATATTTCAGGACACGTTTGAAATCCAGGAAGGAGGCACAAAGGCCTCAGCTTGAGCAGTCCAAGAGATCAAGTTCAAGAACTTGGCTTTATTTGTGTTCCTGCTCAAAGTATAGCTATTCTTTTTCAATTTTTTACACAAATGGGAATATACTATGCACAGTGTTCTTTCCACACAGTCTTTTTTCACTTAATGTTCGAAAATTATTACTTATTAGCAAAGAAAGATCTCGTTTAATCTTCATTCATTCCAGGACCACACACATTCCAATGTTGGAATGCATCGAATGTGACTGACCCAGCACCCTAACTGTAGATGTCTTATTTAGAGGCCACCAGTCTTTTATGAATATTTTTAAATTGCCATCCTGACCACTCCTGATTGACCCATGGGCCAAAACAGCTCAAAGAAGCTGTTTCCAAGCCCTTAGTAGGTCAGAATCAGTGAAGTGGAGGAGAAAGATCTGCTATAGACAGGTGGCCTCAAAGCCCATTTTGAGCAGGAGACATGAAAACTCTAAAAAGCAGATACCAGAATTAAAGCCACAAAAGGAACCTGGGCTATTTAGCACAGAGATCAAAGTTCCAGAGTGACCAGGCCCTTCAGACATTATATCTGACATTCACAAGGTCCCTCAGCCCTGAAAACAGGCCCTTAAATCTCTTCTACATGCTTTGTTTAAGAAAGCAGAAAAGGTCACCTTCCTAGTGGTGCAAGGGGTTAAGACACAGCATTATGAAGCTGTCCACAGCCACTGCAGCATGAGTTCCATCCCCAGCCATCCAGGGAGGTGACCCAAATGGCGCAGCAGACCTCTCCTGACTTGCCTGCTCCTCCCTCAGCAGTGCATTTCAGCACATCTGCCTGTTCTGTTCCCCACTCTGTCTCTGGTGACTCCTCTCACCACCCATACCTCTGGCCTGTACCCCAGTTCTTGTATGCATAAATAAATAAATCTTTAAAACAAAAAGGCAGGAAAGTGTGAAATCCATTTTAGAATGATTTTTATCTAAAATGCTAATCTAAGAAAAGGTCCTACACTTGAAGGAGCAAGCATCAGCTATGTATGTAGCACAGGCGTGCACTTACGCAAGACTTGATTAAATTTTTGGAAAGGAAGGAGGGCAGACAAAGCCTAGAAAGAATACACAGATGGGCTTTCGCAAGAGCCAGGAGTTTTTATGCTTCCTGGACAACACTCAGGGGTGCTTCCTCCTGGATTGGCGGAACCAGACACCTATCTCTTGATTTTGGCATCGTTCACATGGGGGAGGAAGATGTGTTTGATGTGGGAGGACAAGACCATTCTTCTTTAAACTTGTGTTTGACCCAAAAGCCAGGACCCCGGTGACCCACAAAGATCTTCTGAGAGGATCTTTGGCGCCAGAAGGCGCCAAGCCAGTCTTTGGAGCTCTCTTTGGTCCCTATTCTGCTCTGACTAATTAAGCAGGAGGTGGAGAAACTCTCCTGATGTGTTTGTTCTCTGAGGAGTTCCCATTTAACCAAACTAATAATAATAAGCCATGAATAATTAATGGATTGTTGCTGCAATTAGCAACACAAACACCAACATCATGCTAACTGCTCTATGCAGCACTTGAAACAGACAAGAGAGATCACAGTACAGAAGGCCCAGGAGGTGGGATGGAGAGTTTTTGTCCCTGAAGAGGAAGACAAGAGAAAAGCTAGTTGAGTATGAAGCAGGTAGGATGGGAAAGGGAGTTGCAGTTTGGAAAAGGAGACACTAGAGAGGGAAAAAAAGGATGGTAGCTTGAAAGGGGTCAGAGCTGTGCTCACCATGTTTGTATTTATATTTCCCATTTATCGTTAGGGTCTTGGAGAATGATCATATTCTTCAATATGAGCTTTAAAATTAGGGAACTAGGGCCTCCCCGGTGGCACAACGGTTGAGGGCTGGGTTGCGAAGCTGCCCGCAGCCTCTGCAGCGCCAGTTCGATCCCCGGCTGCTCCCCGGCCACCGGAGGAGGGTCCCGCATGGTGCGCAGACCTCTCCTGCCGCCCGCTGCTCCCCTCAGCAGTGTACTTCAGTCCTTCTGCCTGCTCTGCTCCCCGCTCTGGCTCTGGTGAATTCTCTCACCCTCTCGTGCTTCTGACTGTACCCAGTGCTTGTATAAATAAATAAATAAATCTTAAAAAAAAAAATAATTAGGGGACTAGAAAGATCTTAGCAGGAAGAAGGTGAAATGCTCAGAAGACGATGAATGAGACACCAAAACAGAGGTATTTCCTCAAGATGAGGTTGAGGTTGTGAGTAGTGAGACTCAAGGCCATCTTCGGGTTTGGGATCTTGCTAGAGTTGTGGGGTTTCTTTAGTTTGATGCTGACCATGTTTGGGAACACCCCCTAACTCAGCTCCCAGCCGCTCTAACACTTGTTCATTTCTGAAAGGAAGGTGAGGGAATCTCTCTCAACCCCTCTCCCACCACCTCTGTCTGCCACTCCAAAGGCAGATGATGATTTGAGGAATTTTTGATAAACGATGTCAAGGTCTTTAATGGACGATAAGGAACACAGACACTACCAGGCTGATGGGGCTTAACTCGTCACGGGCACGTGATAAACAGCAGGAGAGTGGTGGTGGGGATATGGATGAATGACTGCCTGCAACAGCTATTATCACATAGGCATGACATAAATTCAGACCACTGTTAACAACACAAACAATCACACAAATGTAGGAAGTCTAACTTGCAGTTCATTTCCTGCTCCATTGCAAGTTTCCTCTCTAAGTGTTTTTCTAAACAACCAACAAATGCAGAGTACTTACAGACAGTGGTGCAGGTAGGACCCACATGGTATTCAGTGCCTGACAGGGAGGCCAGAGCCGTGGCCGCACGCCTTGCCACATCATCCTAGGAGGGGGGAGTCAGCAGAGTGAGAAAGAATGGATCCCGCAGCCAGACATTCCTCAGCTGTTCTGCATGCAAAGGTTTGGAAGATCCTCAACCCCTCCCCTGATTTTCCTTTCTGGTCTCTTCAAACCAGAACCAAGACCTGACTATAACATGAAGTAAATGCATGTTTCCTCCAACTCCTTCTCCCAATGTGTCCCCAGGTCTTTACTTCCAGTTTGGGGAAAGAGGTAGAGATTTGTGGGAGATAAGCCCTCAAAATGCATGTGTCCTGCATGCTCAGATTGGATGAGCTGTCTTCAAGCTCTCCAAAGATCTGGGGGACTGCTCACCAGCGCATAGGAATTTCGTAAAAGCACCACCATCATCACCTCTGCCAAGGGAAGACCAAGTATGTCCAAGAGAAAACTTTCTGAGAGTTGAGTGTTCCCAGAGCAGAGGCAGACAGGCCACCATATATGGATGTGCGCTACACAGGGCAACTGCTTGAGACCAGAATCTAGGCCACATCCAGCCACAAGTCCTGCATCTGCCAGAAGCTTTGTGGCTTAGCTATGGCTCTGGTTAGAGGGGCACATTAACTCTGACCAGCACTCAGGGAGGGGCCTGACCTCAGATGCCAGCCCTGCTCTGGTCAGTCCATCCTAAGTGCCCTGTCACATCCTAGGGTGAATCACTGCACATGACACAGAGCACCTTAGGCTGTGACCCACACCCTTCTTCAGCACCCCTTTACCCTGTGTGGGGAGCACATGCCCCTTGCCCACCAAACTGCCTCCCATGGTTCTTGGCATGGGTACGGTTCTTGGAACTCACAGCAAACACAGTACTAAGGGGCTCCCTCATTATAGGGAATGAAGACTGGACCCAGGATGAAATGCACCCAGGCTCCTGGGCATTCCCTATAAGACTGTAGAACCACCACCTTGGCAGTGCCCGGGGGTAAACGAAGGCAGCCACCACTCACCAGCTCTTCAGCATCTGGGGCCTTCTTGACCGTGTATCCGTAAGGATACATCAGCAGCTGAGAGTAGCTGTGAATGTCGATGAAGCATTTGAAGTTCCCGTGGTTCTGGATGAAATCAACCACTGATTTCACCTCCACTTCTGAGTTGACACGGGGTCCATGGTACACTTCGGAGCAAGGGTTACTACTGGCGCCTTCTCCTATGGGGCAGCCCAAACAGAAATGTAAGTTCACAGGCCAAGAAAACAGAAGCTCAAGGCATTTGACCCGGAAGAAGGACAAAAAGTACTGGCCACAGGCAGGCCACGCTAGATGTGCCCCCCGCCCCCCACCAGGACCTGGTCCACGGTGTGTGTTTCATGGGCAGGGCACAGAGCAGGGACATCGGATCTGCACATTCGAGCAGGAAAAATGATAGGATTCCTTTAAATGGCTGGAGTTGACCTTGTATTGTATCACTAACAGTTGTCATAAATAATTAATATCACACTTGACAATGAGTTGAAATTAATAAGTATGCTAGATAATTAATATGAATACCAATTAATAATGAAAATGACTCCATTTATTCTGGTGTCAACTCATTCTCTTGGTTCAGATGTTAATGGCCAAGTGCTGCCAAAAATAATCTATTGTTGTGGCTAAAATCTCTTGATTATTTGACAAGTATTTAGAAATATTGCCTTCTGTATTACTTCACAGTATAGCTCCCTGAGGTCTCTGGTGTGTGTGTGAAACCACCCCATTTGTGGGAATAACTGACTTAACTTTGATGCCCTTGGTTCCCACATTTGTATCAGCTCCTTTCCCACAGTCACATTATTTTCCCCCAATGGTTTATGTGGTATTTTTATGCAAGTTAAAGAAGTACATTAAGAACAAAACAGCAGCTCAGCTGTGCAAGAGTGAAAGAGAGCTATTCGGATTCAGAGTGGGAAGGTAAGTTTAGATCCTAATCAACCATAAGCTCTTGAGTTGGTCTCTGAGCTTCAATTATCTCATTTAAGATAATAAAATGCACTCACTGGGTCAGAAGAATAGTAAGATAATATATGGGAAGTAGCTGGCATTGTTGTGCAGATGATTTTTAAAAAGTTGCAACTAAGAGCCCAGCTCCCCTAATTCCCAGCCTCCTTCCATGACATTGAAGGGCTGAGGTCCATCTGTACCCAGGTGAGTGACCTGTTCAAGTTTAACCTTCAGGAGGTGATCTTGCTTGTTAGGATAATAGTGGAAATTGCTTGCTTCTGAGTTGCTATCAGGAACCCTTCAACCCACCAGTAATTTGCCCTGGAGAAGCTGGGATGGCCAGGGAATAAGGAAGGCCTCTGAAGCTTATATCAAAGACAAGGATGGGTTTTAAAATATTTCATTCTCTCAGGAAAATAGGAGTTGCTCAACCATTCCCCCTCAAGCCCCCCCACCCCCATCCAAATTTTTTTAATCAAGACACGAGATACAGAGAACATAAGGGATTCACCCAAGTTGTTCAATGAATTGGCAATGGAGCCAGCCTGGGAATTAGCAGCCAACTCTGAGCCCCGTGAGCCAGGCTGCCCTTGTAGCCAGGTTTGAGAACTGACCCTCCACCTACCTGCAAAACTGGCGTTCCAGTTTCTATTCGCATCAACACCAACACAGGAGCTTCCAGGATTTACGGACCGTGTCTTCCTCCATAATCGATTCTGAAAATCCACCAAGGAAAAGACAAGCGTCCAGACATAAGTCAGGGCATGGGAAAGGCAGAGGTTTTCTTGGGGGGTTGATGAAGATGAGCACCGCAGAAGGGGTTTGGGAGGCTCATCGGGGCTCCAGCCCTCACTGACGAGCAATCTCCTCTTGTCTCCCAGAGAAAAAGGCTTCACACTCTTGCTTTGAGAGAGAACAGCAGCCATATGCCCCAGGAGAACTTTATAATGTGTGAGCTGGGGTGGTGCTCCCTGAACCCACTGATGATATTTTTCATAAAAGTAGGACAAACACACAACTTGCACCTCAGTGACCACCAGAGCACCAGGACATGCACAGCAACTGTTTTATTCTTGCCTAAAAAATTCACCTGGATCAAATTAAATCTGAAGATCTGATCACCAGTGAGTAGGAAATTGGGAGCAAGGGAGCATAAATGGCCACAACAAGGAAGTAGTGGGGCAGATGCAGACCTGGGGACAGTCTACAGGACACACGACTCAGTTTCTCCAACAAACAAATGACTTAAAAAAGCGCCTGTGGTGTGGGGTGGTGACTATTGTAGAAAAAGAGTCTGCAGAGCCATAGCAACCAAATGCAGGTGCGGACTCTATGGAGACCCTGATTTCAACAACTTGAGTCTTTAAAGATAGTTGGAGGTATTGGAGGATATTAAATACTTCCATTCACTTGTTTAAAGCTGATAGCAGTACAGTGTACAGCATTTGTTTGTTTTAATTATCATCAGAGATGTACACAGTTTTGGGTGAAATGTCATGATGTCTGGGATTTGCTTTAGAATGTGTGGGAGGAAGAGAAATGAAAAGAAGTGGGTAATGTGTTGGTAATTGTTCGAGCTCCATGATGGGGAGTTCATGAGATTCTTCTAAGAAAAATAAATTCCTTGGTAAGTCTCAGGTCCAAGAATGACCAGGAAGTGAGAGCTTAACTCAGAACATGCACAATTGTGGGCGTTTCCACCAAGGCCATACATATTTTAATGGCAAAGCTAGGAATTCAATAAACAGGTCTTAACTCTAAGCCTGTCAGCATTACGGTCTTACTCACTTTAGTTTGTGTGTAAACATATCCATCAGGATTGGCCACAGGCAACAAGAAAATATCCACTTTCTTCAAGATGGAGGTGATGGTTGGTTCCTTCCCGTAATCAGATACAATCTAAGCAGAGACAGCGAGCTTGTGAGCTACGCCAGGGTGGGCTGCTGAGCCCGGCATCTTCCCAAGATGCCCAGGTCTGGAGCATCGTCCACCTCCCCCACCCCCAGGCCTCCCAAACAGGCACAGCTCTCTCTGCAAAGCCCTCGGGCATTTCAAAACCTGGACAACCAGAACTTCAACTGCAGTGAGTCCTGGGCTGCCTGCCTTACTCTCTCCAGCTGCACGTCATAATCAGTATTAGGAATCTGAGTCCCCAGGCAAAGGCCAGGGGCTCCTCCACACTTGCTACCCCGCCTCTTCCAGTGCTGGCTTAAAGCAGGTCTCCCAGAGGGAGAGGAACAGAGGGTGAGGTCCCTGAAGGTCTGGGACCTCAGGGCTGGCTTGGAAGGGGCTGAAGGCAAAACTTCTCTGGCATCTGCTCGGAAAGCTCTGTTGCCTTTCTGAGGGCTGACTGTGAGTCCGTTTCAGGTCCACCTGGGCGGCTTCCTCGCAGCCACGAATGCTCACGGCCACTTAAGTGACTAAGTGACTGGGGGCACTTAGTCAAAGTGCAGAGCATCTTCCCACCTTAGCCCCTGGACCCAGCCTCGTGGGGCGCTTCAGGGGCCCCGCAGGCCCACCAGAATTCTTGGCTAATACCAGGCGACATGACCTTCCTTGCAGTCCAGATGGCCGTGGCCTGTGAGATCCACTCCCGGGAATGGATGCCTGCGTTCAGCCAAATGGCCGGCCGCCTGCCGCCTTCTCCAGTGCTGAACTGTGGAAGGAAAAAGAGGCCAGAAAATGACCCTCTTGCCTGCTTCTCCACTCACCTCTCATCTCCCCAGCTCACCCCTATTCATTTAATCCATTTAAGATAATTCAGAGACCAAATGTTCCTGAGGGCACCATCTATTAATTGGGCTTCTCCGTGACCGGGAAGCTTAATTGCTTGGCTGGCGGGGCCCAGCGGTGAATGGGGCAGCTTGAGCTGCTCCAGGATTGGAAGCAAATGGAAGGGGAAAACAATTGCTATTGTGAATGAAAATGCCAGTGTGATTAGAGATAATATTATGCCTCTTGAAAGACCTCAAATGGTAATCCAACAGAGAGAGACAGCAGAGTGTATGAGCCAGCCTGTTGGAGCTGAGGCAATAAAAGAATTCCGTTTTAAAATGAAGACAAAGGGTCTTCACTATCTCTCTTTTTAAATGGCATTTAATGAATCTGGCTCCTGCATTTGAGTGTTGGGCCCTCTTGGGTCAGAGCGTGGTGCTAATGAAGCCAGGGTCCCCATCAGATTGGCAAAGAATCTAAATTTATGTTGAGTATTTTAGAGCAAACAGCTCGGTGGTGAATCTCCTCCTGCTGCTACTTTAACCATTGCTCTAACCCAGGTACTTCAGGGTTTATAGGAAGCTAAGAACTTGACAAATTCTTCGTTGTCCCATGGTTTCTATCTCCAAATTCCTTTTTATTCATTTGGCTGGATTATTTTTATAATTTATGTCACTGCCATAAATTCTCTACCTCCTTGGCCAATATAGACCAAATCTGTTAGAAATATCTGGAAATTAAGCTGTGTGCAGCCAAGGATCATAGGCTGGGTTTAAAATTACATCAACTCTAAAATTAGCTTCCCAGATTGCTATTCCAATAAGTACCCCTAAAAGAGGAATAGAACTCATAGACCTTTCCAATTTGTCTTGCTACTTCCAGAAGGTGGGAATGAGGAAAAAGACTACAGCCCATCTGAGAGCTTTCTGGAATATTAACCACACCCCCTCACTTGCCCCTATCTTGCCTTTCAATCAAAAGTTATAAAGGGATGTGATCTTTCTAATTTCCCTCATATCAGGCAAAAGCTGGGACTCTGTCAGATCAAATTCAAACCCGGGAAGAGGATCCTCCACCACACTCTCCTCCCTGAAATCAAGGTCTTAAAAAGCTGTCTTCTCCAGAAATCTGAGGGCTGATGCCTGGACACAAGGAGCCAGGAGTCTGAATCCAGTCAAATCCTTTGAACCGCAAGGGGCCTCACCTTCAGTACATACATCGGCCGTTTCTCAAATGAATGCCCAATTTCTACCTTGTTCACCAAGTCGGGAAATTCTCTGGCAATGCTGTCCATCTCTTGGTAAATCTGAAGAAGAAAAAGGGCATCCGCAGAATTTTTGGAACATTGTTCTGTTCTGGATAGGTATCCTCGAACTCTATCTTGTTGATCTTAATGATTTCTGCCAGCGCCCTAGCCTTGGAGTTGATCCTATTGTTGGCAGGGGATGCTTATTTTGATTTTGTGTCTACAAATTTCTAGAGAGCAACATATCTCATTTGCCCACCAAATTAGAGTCCACCGAACTAGAGTAGTAGGACTTTGCACCATCCTGGACTGGATAATCTGCAGTGGCCCAGGTTAGACAAGGTTCTTAAAATCTGTGGTCTCCAAACCTTTTTGATCACTTTCTCCATCCCTGGAAAAATAAAACCAGCATGCACTACACAGCATGCACATACATGTATACACAGATGTGTGTACATATACACACTACTACACAACTACATATACATATGTAGTATGTACACAACTACATATACACACTACTACACAACTACTACACTACTACATATACACACTACTACACATACATTATCAAACAAAAATTGAAATAAAAATGGTTGCATTAATAATAAATATAAAGGGCCTCCCCGGTGGCGCAGCGGTAGAGCGCTGGGTTGCGAAGCTGCCCGCGGCCTCTGTGGCGCCGGTTCGATCCCCGTCTGCTCCCCGGCCACCAGAGGAGGGTCCCACATGGCGCGCAGACCTCTCCTGCCACCCGCTGCTCCCCTCAGCAGTGTACTTCGGTCCTTCTGCCTGCTCTGCTCCCCGCTCTGGCTCTGGTGAATTCTCTCACCCTCCCGCGCTTCTGACTGTACCCAGTGCATGTATAAACAAAACAAACAAACAAGCAAACAAATAAATAAAGAAAAACATGCCTCTATTAAAAAAAAAATCTTTAAAAAAAAATAATAATAATAAATATAAATATGTGCAGAAATATAAATAGAGATTGTAAGTGTTTCTTCCTCCACCCCATCTTGCTTACACCCTGTAGCACAGCCACCCCATTTTGGAGATGATTCTTCTGAAGGCTTTGAAAGAACAAGTGAAGTAAATCATGGTTGCGAATGCTTCCATTTGCTTTCAGTCAAAAAAATAAAAATAAAAAGTTTGATTTAAATAGAGTTCATGCATCTTAGTTGCACAAACCTTTTGAGAGTCAAGAGAAGGAAATAAACAAATTTATATTTAGACCTTAAAATTGAAAGACACTTTACAGAGGCGGAAAATGTGCAATCAATATAGAATAAAATCACATTTAAAGGGTTGATCAGACTTGTAGTCAATATGGTGGATTGAGCAGAAGCCAGAAACTACCTCCCAAATATATAGGCAAGCCAGATAAAATACAATGAAAATGATTCATGGTCAACTTTCACAGCCAAAAACAAAAAGGGGGACCTGGGGGAAGGCGTGGACCTGCAGGTGCCATAAATGAAGAGGCACAAAGCTAGCAGAGTGGAGAGCAGAAGCTAAAACCCCAGGATCAAATATTTGCCTTGGGTGCAGAGTGTAGGGGCACGGGACCAAAGAGCTAGGACCGGAGAGCTGGGAATCCAATTCCGGCCATGAAAAGGGGCCTGGAAACTTTATCCACTGATTCTAGAAAGTGGACCAAAAGCCAGATGGCTGCCTAGAGCCATATGAAGAGAGACCTCCAGGAAAAGTACCGCCAAGTCATGCCCAGACAGGGGGTCCAAATCCACACCACCAACATCAGAGGAAGACTCACAAACTAAGAAAATAACGGCAACCGCAACCACACACACAAAGGATCTGAAACTAGAAACCCTGGCAACGACAAACATGACATTCCCACAGGAGACCTAAGAAGGCCTAATGGTTCTGCGCTCTTAAAAGCTGTTTTCAGAAAGAACTGAATTGATCAAGCCAGGAGGGAGACAGTACACCAACCCACAGCCAAAGCCCTTGCAGGGAACACGAGAAAGGTGTAAACCAGATGGCAATAGCACCTAAAGCCAGAAAACAAAAGCAGGTGGGTGAGAGAGGGAGGCGCAGGCAGGTGAGGGGATAGAGTTTCTCGAGTCCTGGGTGACATTTGCAGCTGGTTAGCTCAGCTAGGAAACCCATGTTAATGAGCTAACATCATGGGTTTGATCCCTGTGTGGGCCCTGAGCTCTGCTTTTGTCCATGGCCCCAGACTGAACTCCTAACTTTATCCAGCTGTTTTGCAGATGTATGTCACTGGTCACAGAGGGATCAAGGGGCAGTGCGGTTGGAAGTGTACACAATAAACAAAGCTACTGACAATCATGGGAAAGGAGTGGAAATAGTTGGTGGACCTTTGAAATAATCCCTCATCTAGAAGGAAAAACAACCTAAAGCAGATCCCTTGTGCAAAGCGTGCCGGAAACACCATCTTTGGATATAAAGAACCTGTATGGGGAGGGTGTTCCTGAGCTAGTAGAGAGGTTCCAGGCTAAGGAAGAAGACATTGAGGGACGTAAGGGTACTGTATTGTACGTGGTACGGTTCCATTCCACAGCCCATCTTGGTTCCTCAAGTCCTGGCATCAAATTAAATTATTCTGCTGTGCGTTTTTCATTTGAAGGGTTAGCTTACCTTGAAAGTCAGCCATCTGCATAAAGTGGTTTCTAACTAAACACAGCACCAGAAGGCATTACGGAACAAATATATGTTATAAGTAGTCATGATAAATGAATGGAAATATTTGGTTAACCTTGGAAATAACCACTTGTCTACTTTCCTGGAATAAGAAACATTTTAATCTGGTTGAATAAAATACAGGGATTATGGTGGGGTCTAAGAAGGTTGAATTACAAGGACTGAAAATGATTGCAGTTATTTCATGGTTTTCTTTAAGGGGCTGCTGGAGCAAAGAAGGAAGCATGTGAGAGAAAATGTCTGTTTGTGTTTCACTGTGCTCATAGATGTGGGTCGGGTTAACCCCCCAAAACTAGAAAGGGAAGAAAATGTGCGCACAGAGTTTGATTTTTTGCCCTGTAAAAGGGCAGATACTGTCCCTTTTACAAATGGAAGGTTTGTGTCAACCCTGCAGTGAGCAAGGCTTGGGCATCACTTTTCCAACAATGCAATAAAGCATTAAAATATTTTTAATAAAGCATCAACGTTTTTAAAAATACATAATACTATTGCACACTTAATAGATAATTCTATAAGCACTGGGAAACCAAAAAAATTGTGACTCACTTAATTGCAACATTCCCCTTATGGCAGGGGTCTGGAACCGAACCTGCAGTATCTCCAAGCTGTGTCTGCACACATGTTAGCCCCCCAGTGAAGGGATATTTGTGCTAAGGACTAATGCCGCATGGATGAGAGGGGTTGCAAAACCCAGATGCCCTTGATCTTAACCTGTTTTGAAACACTTACAGCTTCCAGGGAATGGTAGGCCCCATAGTTGAAGTAATTATTGCTCCGTTCTTGACCTTCATTGTGTTGCATTTCTTTATCTTCATCATCTAAAAGGGCCTAAAACAGACACAGCAACATCAGGAAATGATCCGCTGGAGGTTCTTGTTTTCACTGTATCTTGGCACATGGGCTGGCCAAAATGGTGGCACCCTGGGCATGCATACCAAGCAGTGCCAATGTCAAGGTGTCAAAGAGGGTCAGATTTCTTCCACAGATCTATAAGAGCTTACTTCTTGGAGCCCAACAATATCACCCCATTCCAAATACACTTATACCCTGGAAGTAACATATGTGCTATTTGGTTATTCTGTGCTGTGAATTCTCTAGACATCGGCCCGCATCTGGTATCCAGTGCCTCTGACATACACAGCTTGGGAAACCATTCAGAAACAAAGAAATTCTTATAACCACTCATACTTTGAAGGTTCCTGGCAGATGTGTGTGACATGTGAGGATGATTAATAAGCTCACAGCTGCTCACGCCATCAGGAAACTCCCGGGCCAAATCACCAATTAGTCCATAACCCACCTCGGTGAAGGAGAGAACACGAGCCAGACTCTGTCCTGCTGTTCAGCTATAGGTCGCGAGGCTGGTGCCTGGCTTGGGTGGTGATGTCCCTCTGCTGGGTGACATCCCCCATTCTAAAGGAGACTTGCAATCACCAGTCTCCAGCACACCCTCCCACCGCCTCTGTTCTCTCCTGACTTCAAATAAGAAAATGGAGAAGACTTAATAGATGTGAAGCATCTACGATGCAGCAGGTACCGTGAGACATTTCACGTACAATTAATGCTTAATCTTCTCAATAAAGTGTACAAGGTAAATACTACGATTACCATTTTAATCTATGAAGAAACAGAGGTTCAAGGGCTTCATTTACAGCTTGTTCAACGGCTAGTAGTTAGCAAACTACTAGCTAACTAAAGGCTAGTAGTTAGCAAAGTCAGGATTTGGTTCAAAAGGTGTCCTGACTTACGTAGGCCCTTCCTACTACATGTTTCTCTAAGTAGTCCTTGCACTTTGCTGTCATATACCTCAGTTTCTTCATCTGTAAAATAGAGACAGATAAGAACAGAACTTGAAAATGTCTCCGGTCCATTCTGGCTGTTTGGTCCTATGCAAAGCTAGTGAGGGACCTTGGCCTACCCACCTGCAGGTCTTCAATAGTCACTGCGTACTCTAAGCCCTGGGACTTCAGGAAGGACTTGACTGGTAGCAGACTGACAGATGGGACCAGGACATCTACAGGACGACTGACAGTGGTGGGGGCTTGCCAGAAGTTGAGCTGAAGAAAATAGAAGTAAAGGCAGGTTAAAGGACAGTTCAGGTGAAAAGCACACTGAGTTCATTCTTTTAGAACAATTCCCAAAAGCCAGAGTGATCCCTGAGGGATTGGGTTCTGCTAAGGGAACCCACTGCCTGTTTCACAACTGTGTTCAGTTGTGCCTACCCAGCAGCTGGCATAGTCAGAGGAGTAAGAATCCAGGACAGATAGAAAGACGGAGGTGAGGACCAAGACCTCCCACCCTCCGCCCCCTCCCCAAGACAGCACATCTCCCACTTTGATTATCTATCAAGGCAGGTGGAAACTCTTCAGGATCGACACTGCTGGTGGTGCCAGGGTCTTCTCCACCACAGCTAAAGATACCCAAGAAGACTAAGAAGAACCAAGTACCTTAAAGTTGTTTGAATTCACTAGCTCACTTAATTTGCTCAACTCGTCTCCACTTCTGATGTTAATCCTAAAAACTTGGTCCCTAGAGGAAAAAAAAAAAAAAAGCAAAAGAAAATGGTGAGCTTTCAGTTGGCAAATAAGCCCAAGCCTACTATCCCAGACATAACTGGGCCGAGTGAGAGGAAACGGTCTAGTCTTTGGTTATAATGTATAGCCATTAAAAATAAGACTACGTGGCAAATATGAAAAAGTGCTTATGGTATAACTTTAAAGGAAATATTAAGTGAAAGAGCAGGACACAGAATTGTATGTATGCCATGATTACAAGGATGGAAAAAGCAGATGCATTGGAAGAAAAACAGACAGCGGAAACACAGCGAATGCTGACAGCGCTGTGCTCAGGTCGTGGGATTATGGACGACTGCCTTTTTTTTTCCTCCCTTGTATCTGTTTTCTGTAATGTGGTCATATTACTTTATAATGAAAAACATATATATTTTTGCAGAAAGGAATGTTCCTGAGTTACACGCAAAGCTAACTCAAGACATAAAGAAGTATTTCTTCACTGTCAGGAGCTAGGACAAAAACTGGCTGAACATCCCTGCTGGAAAGAGCTAGAAAAGAGAGCAGACCTTGCAGCCTCGGAGGGTAACTGTCTACCTCTTAGCAAAGAGGGGAGAGGCCGGGTGCTTTCTCTGTGCTAGCCAGGTCCAGACCCCTAGACAGTTACAAACACAAAATGACCAGGGTGCTGAGGCTGAACTTGGGATTCAGTCTCCCGCGGGGGCCCCCTGAGCAGACCAAGAAGGGAGCCGCCAGTCTTGAGCCCCCTTTTGTTGTTTGTCCTGCACTTATTTTGCAGACACCATTTAGCTTCCATAGGAGCGGCAGGGGTAGAGGCCCCTGAAGTCCTGTGTGTGTGGGTGGGAGAGGCCAAGCCTGAAAAGTCCCCTTTGTGCTTTCAGCCGGCTCAGGGAGCCAGGGGAGCCATTAGGCCGTTGCTAGGTGACAGCCCAGTGAATCTGCACTCGACGCTGTCACATGCGTCATCCCTTTGACAGGAATGAATGCGGGAAGAGCTGCCGGAGAGGGCTGTGGGCTGAAGGACCTGTTGACAGAGAAAATGTTCTGTCACAGGGAGCTAAACGTGCAGCCTCACGTGGCAGATGAGCATCTCTTCACAGACAACCAGCCCTAACCAAATGGACTCTCGGGGCTTAACTTTGTTCTGGGAGGTTCTGGAGGACCTCCAGGGGGGTCTCGCCCAGCCCCAAGGAGGCAAGGTTCATTGCAGGGTTGCATCTACTGCAGGTGGCAGAGCTGGGGAAAATGCCAGAGCCAATGGATCATTTTCTCCCAACTTAGTTGATCTCCACAGGGCTGGAGGGGGGCAGTGAGCTGCACCCCATGGGTGCTGGGTGTTGCTGAGGCCACAGTGGAGAAGTCATTGGATAGGCAGGTCTCAGTCTGAACCCAACAAACTTGCTAGGAGTTGGGCTTCAGCCCTGAGGAGATGGGGAGCCCAACCCCACTTCCCTGACCTGGGTTGGCAGCCTTGCCAAAAAGGGCCGGGTTTAAAAACAGAAGTAAAATCCTTACCCCTGGCGGAGTACCAGGGCCCATCTGCCAACCTCGTGCTCTCTCACAGCCCACCCCCACCTCCAGGAGAAGGGGTGTCTTAAAAAATGAACATTCTAGGGCCTCCCTGGTGGCTCAAGTGGTTAAGCACCGCACTATGAAGCTATCTGCAGCCTCTGCAGCACAAGTTCCATACCCGGCCGGCCAAGGAGCTACCCACATGGCACGGCAGATCTCTCCTGTCTCGCTCGCTGCTCCCCTTAGCGGTGTGTTTCGGTCAGTCTGCCTGTTCTGTTCCCCACTCTCTCTGGTGAATCCTCTCACCCCCCGCACCTCTGGCCTGTACCCCAGCTCTTGTATGCATAAATAAATAAAATCTTTTAAAATAATAATAATAAATTTAAAAAGGAACGTTCTAGAAAGCACCTATGCATTGGCATCTCTATGGCAAAATTAGGCATTTGGAAAGTACAACAATCATAAAGGAGAGGAGGGAGAAAACAGAAAATTTATAATAAAAAGAGAATGTAAGAAAACGGAGGGTCTAGGAGTAAAATCATGTTACACATTCACCTACAGCACGTGTTTTACTTTTCCCAAAGTAGTAACTTGGCGACGGAACTTCCATACTCCTGGGCACAGCTTCCAAACTCCTGGGTCCATAATAGTGAAATGCTGTGATTCTAACTGGCCCAGAGGAGGATGAAATCCACAGCCCATTTCATCATGCCTGCACCAGCCCAGCCAGAGAAGACACATCTGGAGCACGCGGAGTGGCTGGGCAGAAGGGCAGGCTGCCGTGTGTCTCTCCTCCGTCTCTCCCTTGGCTCCAGTCTCACCGAAATCCCCAATTCACCCTGGACATTGTCCTTCTCTGTGACTCTGCAACTGCTGTTCCCTCCACTGCCACATCCAGCCTTTTCCCTTGGCTGCCTGACAATCTCCCCCCAGGCTTGAAGACCAACTCCAGTCACCCTGAAGTTTGCCCTCGTCAGAGGATGCAAAGTTGGGGATAGGGTTCATTGGGGGCTAAAAGGTGGGCCAGGGGGCCTCCCTGGTGGAGCAAGGGGTTGAGCACTGCACTATGAAGGAATCCACAGCCTCTGCAGCACAAGTTCGATCCCCAGTCGGCCAGGGAGCAACCCACATGGAGCAGCTGACTTCTCCTGTCTCGCCCACTGCTCCCCACAGCAGTGTATTTCAGTCAGTCTGCCTGTTCTGCTCCCCGCTCTGTCTCTGGTGAATCCTCTCACCCCCCGCATCTCTGACCTGTCCCCCAGCTCTTGTATGCATAAATAAATAAATCTTTAAAAAAAAAAAAAGTTGGCCGGTGCATGAGCCAGTGTCTAAGATTATTCTCATGAACGTAAGTCCACCGATGCCTGGGAGCAGAGAACCTATGTAGGTGACAGGTGAAGGGTAGCCCTGGCCCCCAATGTCCTTGTCTGCTTTTGGGAAATGCCTCTCCAGGCACTGAGAGTGTGGGTGACCAGAAACCACCCAGCACCACCATCCAGAACTTCATTCCAAGACCACAAGCTCTTTCTGAAGGAACACCAGCCTGGGCCGGGGGCTGTGCTGGGCCTTGCAGGATGCCGTGTTCACCCTTCCTCTGCCACACTGGTGTTCTCAGAGCTCTTCTGAACTCTGGCCTTTCCAATACCCAGCCAGTCTTGGGGATCCCCTCTGACCCACTCTCACACCTGCCCCGACCTTGGACAGTCAACAGTCACCTTGGAGCCGTGGCTCTGCGTCCCCTCTGACCACGCAGGCAGCCACGGCTGCGCCTGTGCCTTCTCCCCTGCAGCCCCTGCCAGGCTTGGCGCCACCGCAGCACTGGAAGACGGTTTCACAGACTCAAAAATGCCTGCCAGCTACTACTAATGCCACAACAATTCCGCAACGACTTCCTGTTCTCCGCCTGCCTGGCACTTCTGGACATCCTCACCACCATTCATCTCGAAGCCGACTGAAGCCCGGGGGGAAGACACCAGCAGAGCGCGAGAGATGGGGGAGGTAGGTGCGCTGGGTGGAAGGAATGGAGTCTTGGTGGGGGGAGACCCCATCCTCTTCATCTCCATCAGCACTGTGTCCCCTCCAACCAACCTGTGTCCCTGAAACCTCAGGGCTCAACTTCCCTTTGCTTTAAAGCTCACCAACCTGGGTATCTGGGACACATCTATGAACCCCAGGAAGGATTCCACCACCTTCGCTGGGTTCCTTACTACGGAGTAAGAACAGTATCATCAAGGATGATACTATTGGTTAAAACCATCTGCAATTAGCTCAGGCACAGCGCTCCTGCCGTGTACACTCCAGGGCCCGGCCCAGCTGTCTCAGCCCAGGTGTCTGCCGCATTGTAAGAGAAAACTGTATCCTGAGAAATAAAGATTTTTCAGCCACGTGAATAGCTGCAGTGGGAGCCTGACAGCTCCATGCATCAGCCCACACGGCAGTGAGCATAGTTATTACACACTTACTGCTGAGCTGCCTGTGGAAAAATCTCCTTCCCTGGCCACCTGCTATGCCTAACCCCTCTGAGCTATTTGGCAGCAGAGGCCAGGTGTGAACAGAAGTCATCACCATAAAAATTACTCAATCTCATATAAGTAATTACCTCAGTAAACAACCTCAAAGTCCCTTTACCCAGATAGTATAATAGAGAGTAAACTAACAGAAAGAGATGGACTAGAGATACAGGACTCGATCTGGAGATTAACTAGTGTATGGCAGAAGGGTATGGGTTCTGCATGCTGAGTTCCAGCTCCCCCGCTTACAGCTAAGTGGCCTTGGGCAGGTTTCCTAACCTTTCCAAGCCTAAGTTTTTTCATGTTTAAATTGAGGAAAATAACACCCTAGCCCGGTAGAGCCTTGTGTGATCCAAAAGATAATGCACATGAAAGCTCTTTGCAAATGGCAAAGCATTATGCAGTAATGAGTTATTAGAATTCAGTCCTCTAGCAGGGCACCCAGATATCCTTTCATCTTTCCTACTTCCCCAATATCCTCTCTGCAAACCTCAAAGCATTCTGTGTAAGGCATGTTGGGCAGGTACGTGCATATCCACAAGAACGCGCATAGCCACAAGAACGCGCGCGCGCTCACACACACACACACACACACACACACACAAACGGTGCAGATGTGTCTTTGCTTGTCAATTTGCACAGCGTGGCTACGCAAAACCTATCAAATCTCCGTGTCCCAGATGTCCGAGAAAGCGCCAGCCCTACTAAGCAGAGCAGGTCACCACTAACAGAGAGGTGAAATCAAAAGCCCAAGACCCAGATTTTCCTCTAAGCGTGGCAGACATTAGAAACAAATTCTAGCAATCCTGGGTAATTCACAATATAAGAGTAAGAAAGTAAGAAATGTCCTGGAACTGACCTTACAAGAACTAGGAAGAAGAAGACCTGGCTGGAGATGAGCGAACCAGAGAGGGACCACTTAGGGAGGGACCACCTCACCCTGCTACACAGATAAAAATGAACCTCAGAGAGAAGTCACTTGTCAGGGGGGAGCCAGAGGCCAAGCTGGGCCAGGGGCCCAGGTGCTTTTTCCCCAACCACTGAATCAGTCGTTTCCAAATCCCTTTGGCTCCTGCCTCCCTGAACTAACCAAAACATAATAAATCCAAAAGAACTTACCCAAAAAACTTTTCTCGGCCACAGATGCTGGGCCCAATAAGGGCCACAAAGAAGAGGCTCCACTTCATGTCCCGGGAGTGTCAGTCATGCCGTGGCTGAGTCAAGCTGTGGTTATATAGAGATTGAGGCAGACTCATACTCTCAAAAATGCAATTCCCAAACACTCTTGGACGGTGACAGTACCTCAGGCGGGCCACTACCTGTAGGCCGTTTCCATTCCTTCTGAGTGATCAAGATCAAGCCAGTGCCGAGAGGAACTTGCTCCTCAGGCTGGAAAAGTCTGTGCAAAGGTATCACATTGCTCATCAATTGGTATCTAAATAGTGTTTTTTGAGCAAACAGGGAAGGCCTACAGTGCTGGATGGAATTTAATCTGCTAGGAGAGGCCAGGGGATAACCCGTGATGGGGGTTATCTCTAGAGTAATAATAAAGTGAAGACTGTCAAAGAAATTCCACGCCACTGTCGAGACCACAGGCTGGACAAGCCAGGTCAGAGAACTTCACCAGAGCAGGCCATGGGACAAGGGTGTGTGGCCTCTGGGATGGAGCTGACCTGTAATTCTTATGACTCCACTCAGAAAGGAGACATATATGAGGTAAATGGTATAGGAAGACTAGGTAAGTACGAATAAATTATCAATTTTCCTTGGGGCCTGAGCTGAAGGTTTAATAGTACTACTAACACTTTTGCTAGACTTGGAAACTGGTGTCCATTCCAGCAGATTAAGTGGATGACATTCTTGATCTGATAGTCCAACACCTTTGAGTCTGTCCTGGGGAGCCCCAAATCCCACAAGCCTCACAGAAGCCTGTCTCAGGCTTGATTGAGGAGAGCTTTTTTGTTTTTGTTTTTTTAAAGATTTATTTATTTATTTATACAAGCACTGGGTACAGTCAGAAGCGCGGGAGGGTAAGAGGATTCACCAGAGCCAGAGCAGGGAGCAGAACAGGCAGAAGGACCGAAGTACACTGCTGAGGGGAGCAGCGGGCGCCAGGAGAGGTCTGCGCGCCATGTGGGACCCTCCTCCATGTGCTCTCCTCCGGGGAGGAGCCAGGGATCGAACCAGCGCTGCAGAGGCTGCGGGCAGGTTCGCAACCCAGCGCTTAACCGCTGCACCACCAGTGAGGCCTGAGGAAAGCTTTTGTGAAGAGCTGTGGGGCTGGGGTCCTGCTGTTTCCAAGGTCTGCATTTTTTTCTGTACTGTCCCAGAGTGGACGCAAACAAGCCTCATGGTTGGGGTAGTAATGAAAAATTACTCTGACACTTGTAAGAAAGATTTTATTCAAGATCATTGCAAATGGAGCCACACGACAGGAAAATATAATTCCAAATATGGTAAATCAGAAACGTGAGGGGGTTAATGGATGAAAAAGTGCTAAGATGAGGCCAAAGACTTAGATGTCAAAGGTGGGAGATGAGAAACTTGATTAGATCCCAAAGAGTGGGGGTGATTTAGCAGAATCCTTTCCTAAGAGTGACTTAAACAGAATCCAACTGCAAGAACAGTCAAAAAGAGCTCGCAGAAGCCTAAGGCTTGATCAAGGAAAGTCTTTGTGAGGAGCTGTGGAGCTGGGGGCCTCTTATCGGGGTTCTTTTGTCCTTCCAACACTTAAACTGACCTCCTCGGCCCATGCTACCCCATCACAAAGGCTGGATTCTACATTACCAGCATAGATTTCAGATTTGAAATTACTAACAAGATAAGCTGAGACCTGATCTGCAAGAAATGTGAAGGAGGGCCTCCCCAGTGGCGCAGCGGTTGAGCACTGGGTTGCGAAGCTGCCCACAGCCTCTGCAGTGCCAGTTCGATCCCCGGCTGCTCCCCGGCCACCGGAGGAGAGTCCCACATGGCGCGCAGGCCTCTCCTGCCGCCCGCTGCTCCCCTCAGCAGTGTACTTCAGTCCTTCTGCCTGCTCTGCTCCCCACTCTGGCTCTGGTGAATTCTCTCACCTTCCCGCGCTTCTGACTGCACCCAGTGCTTGTATAAATAAATAAATTAATCTTTAAAAAAAAAAAGAAATTATATTTAAAAAAAAAAAGAAATGTGAAGGAAAGAATCAAATACCTAGAATTCTAAGCAAGTTATTATTCACTTCTCACCCTTCCCTCCCCAGGAAAGTTTCAACACAAAGAAAATCTAAATCCCTATTGGAAGTGAAGAGCTGCAGAGAAACCGTAGAATCTGAGATCCAGGTTTGGTGGGACAACCAGGAGGAAGGAAGGTCCTTGGTTCGAGTCCCCACCACGTTTTATAACGTGGCTCCAGAAGTGGAACAGCACAGCACAGGGGAGCAGGGCACACAGCGCCTAGCACAGTGTGTGGCACTATGTAGTTGCTTCATTAATATATATTGAATAAATGAACTCAAACAGCCCTTCTCATTCCAAAATGCTACTCTGTTAAGATGAAGGTGCTGACACAGCCCACACATGGATGAAACCTGGAAACACTATGCTAAATAAAATCAGTCACCAGTGGATAAATACTGTACAATTCCACTGATAGCAGACACCTAGAAGAGGCAAATTCATAGAGACAGAAAGCAGAGTAGAGGTTACTGGGGCCAGAAGGAGAGGGTGGGGAGTTAGTGTTTACTGGGTACCAGGTGACAGGTTGGCATGATTTTTTAAAGTCTAGAGATGGCCAGTGGGGAGGGTCACACCATATTGTGAATGTACTCGATGCTGCTGAATTGTACACTTAAAAAGTTATAATAGTAAATTTTATAATATGTATATTTTACCATCATTTAAAAATTTTACAGGATTTTGGGAGCTTTTTGCTCGAGATGGATTGAGAAACAAAGATGAAGGGGTACAGGTGTGTTTTAGGACAACTTGCATTGAAGAAATGACGATCCCACATCAGGATTAGAAAAAGGAGTAATCACAATTCAACTTTGCTTCAAATCAAAGAGCTTTTAATAGTGTTTGTTTATCACCCAGAGCCCTAATAGGGGTGGTCTCGCACATGCTCCATGATGGTCTTCAAGCCAAGCCAGGTCTCGCTGGCTGTGGGCACGATCTGACTGGCTGGCAGAAGGAAGCCATATCGGCCAGTGTCTCTCAGCTCAAAGGCAAATGCGTATTTGATGCCAGAGTCATAAGCCCAGTCAATGCTTCCTCCACTGGCTTGGTCTAAAGGGCAAACGAGAAGAAAGTCTAGTTATGCTGTTCCCACTGGCCTCCATATTAAGTTCCACCATTATCAAGGGTCAATCAGGTTCCCACCCACATGGACCACGGGAGCAATGAGAGCTTAGTAGGGGATCATGCTTACAAAAAATAGAGATTCACTTGAAAAGCAAAGGCTATTTAAATGAACACTGTACTTAGTCCTTCTTTGGTGTCCTTGGAAGCTCTGGCTTCACCCACCCATTGGGAATTCAGCCTGCTCTGCAAATAGGCATCATCTACAACTTAGTGACCACATCATGTCCTTCTTTAGATGAGTGCTAGGTAGACATTGTTTCCCCTAGGGGGGAAAGAGGCAATACAAATGGAGTGAGAGGTTTCATCCCTGTCCTCAAGGGACTTTTAGTGTAGGGGTGGAACTGGCTTTGCTCTGATACCAAACAGAATGCCCAACACCTATGTGTGGGGTGACAGGTTAAACCAACAGTGATGTGCACCTGTGTGGTGTGTGGCCACTGACGTGAAAGATGATGAAGGAAGGTGGCATTAGCCTACAAACACCCGGGGCAATCATGACTCAGAAGAGTTGAGCAATGGGCCAGCTCTGAGGCCCCTCCCAGGGAGGGCAGGGTAGAGGTCAAATGGAGGACATAGTTGGGACAGAGATGGAGGAAGTCACCTGCTCCCTAAGAATGGGGCTGGGCAAAGAGGAAGACCAGGGAGGCTATTCCAGGGAAGAGGAGGATGAATGGTTAATATTGTGAATTAACACGTGAAGTCCTGTGACTTGTGTCTTTGCCGTCACCCCCACCAGCTATGGTAGCACTTGGTAAGTAACACAGCAAATCATGGTCGACTTAAATTGAATCTTCCGTGGGTACCAAAATTACTAACTTATACTTTTGTGATTCTACACAACCAAGTCTACTGAGAAGTCCACAGTGGACAAAATACTGACTTGAGATCGAATCCTGACTCAGAAAATCATTAGCTGAGTGACTTAGGGCAGGTCATTTATCTGAGTCCCAGATACTTCATCTGTCAAATATGGATAATAGTACTACTTATTTCGCCAGACACTGAGAATTAAATGAGATAATGGCTGTGGTTCCAACACTCATTGAGTACTTACTGAATGTGCTAGGCGCTGTGCTAACCTGCTTCATTTAATTCCCACCTGGGTCACCAGATAGAACTAATATTATTCCCATCCTGCAGATGAGGAAATTGAGGCTCAGCAAGATTAAATGAAAGATCTGGGATAATGGAGGTAGAGTAGGCATTCAATAAATGTCAACTGTGATCATAAATATCATTATCAATAAATAACTAGGACCCAATCAAAAAAGTTGGACCACATTAAAGATCAGAGGAACTGGAGGAGGGCAGTTCACAAGAAACTAAACAGCAGCATTTATATAGTGCTTTAGAGTTAGCAAACACTTTCATTCCACATCCTATCTTTTGAGCATCTCAACAACCCACTTCACAGATGAAGAAACTGAGGATGAGTCACCTGCCCCAGGCTACCTGTTCTAAAGTGGGAGAGCTGAAACTCAAATCCAGGCCTCTGTCCCCAAAGTCTGTGTTGTTTTTATTCCTGCACCTCTGAAAAAGAATTCAAGTAACATCTTCTCCTGCACCAAACACCTATTGTGCAGCTTGTCACAGCCCTTTCCTGATGAGAAACTGCCCAGGAAGTGTCTCACTGGGCACAGAAGTCCTGCCACCACCTGCATGGAGTGACACAGGTATTCAGCCCTGAGATGCATACAGATCTCGGGCAGGAGGCAAAAGTACTTCACCGGGCCTAATTCTCAAGGCAGTATTTGTGCAAGTTGGACTGAGGCCAGGATAAAGGATAACTGAGTTGCCCTGGGGGGAGACGCAGTCAGAACTTCCTTGATCACTAAAGGCAAGGTTCCAGAAGA